CTGAGGTGGAAGGATCGCCGGAGCCCAGCAGGTCGAGGCTGTGGTGGCCGGGAGCGGCCACTGCACTCCCTCCAGTCTGGGCGACAGAGCGAGACTCCAACTCAAAACGAAAAAAAAACAAAAAAAGAAAAGATCTCACCTGAATATAAATTTAACAATTGTTACTCGAATCACAAGTAATGTTTTTCCAACATTATGTTGGAAAATCATTATTATTCAATAAGAAGTTATACATACATACACACACACACACACACACACACACACACACACACACACACACCTCCTTATTGAATAACAATGAAAATTTTTTAAATACACCATAGGAATATGAGAATAATAGAAAGTTAGTACTTCTTCTTTTTCTGGTGGCTTAGAATGCACCTACATGAGAAGCTGCATCTTGAGGGACATTGAAAAATCTCAGAAATCCAAGGCCAGAATGCTGGATGGTTAAATAAAAAATTGTTGTTATCCCCAGGCATGGCAGCATGTCCTTCTGCCCTTGAAATTGTGATTAGTCATAAACTGATTTTATAGTGAGTCAGATGGAAAAGCTCACAGCCCAAGATACTGTGCCTTATCTACCAATTTCCTGTTTTGCTACCCTAGAGACACAAAGACATTGTGGAAGGCATTGGCTCAAAACCCAGCTTCCAGTCATAAACTCATGCGAGCCTTAGTAGACAAACTGGAGGCTGAGTTGGAAGATGACATCGCCAGGATTGAGGCAATATCAGTGAGTTGGACTATCCATAAGTTACCTGAAAATGTGTCCTCCTCCATGACATATCCACCTGGAACTGGGTGCTGTAGTATTAATGATACTTCTTCTCTCATAGCCTAACTTTACTCCAGTTGATATTGGACAAATATGGCAGTAATTTTGTCTGTGGTTGGTCATTTTTAGAAAAAAATTTGTCATTGACCCCAAGAAAATCTATGTATCTATATTTCCAGATTAGCCTTTAAGATATTCAAATGCCCTCTTTTGTTGAAAAACCCCAATGCTGAAAATCATTTCATTTTGCATGACTTGTATACCATGGCAGTCATAGTGTCAATATGGCAATCCTGAGAAAGAAGCACAGTCTGAGTTGAGATGTTTACAGACAAATAATCCCTTTTTATGTGTTTTTACCATGAGCATGGTCAACATGAAAAGTAGTTACTGGTGGAGAAAACAAACTTGAAGATCAGTCCAGGGAGAAGATAGCCTTAGAGGATAGGAGACTGTCTGACCAAGAGGTCCTTTCTCTTCTCAGGTGGCCTGCGCTATGTATGAAATGATCTCAACAGGCATCTCTGTCACTAGCTTATATCCAGAATTGTTCACTCTCCTCCTGAAGCTGGTCAGCTGCACGCTGGGACAGCAGATGCCTACCTGGAACCACAGGCGACGTGTGATGCAGCAGGGAGAGCTGCAGCAGATCCCAGACCCTTGCAGGTAAATGGCCAAGCAGAGAGAGTCATCTCGAGCTATCCTGATTCCAGAGTCCAGAAGAAGGCTGAGGAAGTCAGGATCTGTGTCTTTGGCCTGATATCAAATGTTCATGAAGAAACAAGGCTCTCCTGTCCTTAAGCGATGACATCATAGTCCTTCTTGAACCAGTACCCAGTATAGCTGTACAGAATGGTCACAGAAAGAATAAGAGGCTATACTTTCTTCTGTAGACAGACTGCTGTGTTATCTTTGGTATCTTCATTAAGATCTGTCTAGGAAAGCTGGAATTCTATGATCTTCAAGGCCAGCAGGGAAAGAAGAAAAATAAAAATAAATATATTTCATAGCATTTAAAACTTCAACAGTTGAAAGAAAGAAGCATTATTTGTATACTGTTAAGAAAATAGAAAAGGACTCCAAATTAAACCATGAATCCAAGCTTTCTTATGCTTGTAAATTTTTCTTTTGTATTTATCAGAAGAACTCTTTCAGAACTATGAGGTAGAGATTTTCATTGTGCTTTCTTACCTTTTGCATATTTTCCATTGCAATGCCAAATTATAGTGCCACCTTTTAAAAGACATTTTAAACAGCATTTAGACTCAATACATGTAGTTCCAATGATACATATACCTTTACTAAAGTGATTATAATATGAAGAACTACACATGCATGTGCATGTGAAATCCTGTCTAGAAAGATGCATCTTGACTTCAGAGATGCTATTTTACTTATTTATTTGCTTGTTTATTTATTTTTTAGGCAGAGTCTCACTCTATTGCCCAGACTGGAGTGCAGTGGCATAATCATGGCTATCCACAGCCTTGAATTCCTGGGCTCAAGCAATCCTCCCTTTTCTACCTTCAGAGTAGCTGGGACTGCAGGAGAACACCACCATACCCAGCTAATTTTTTTTTTTTTTTTTTTTTGAGTTGAGCTCTCACTATGTTGCCCAGGTTGGCCTGGAACTTCTGAGCTCAAACAATCTTCCCAAAATGTTGGAATTATAGTTGTGAGCCAACACACTTGACCTTCAGAGATATTATTTTAGAATCAATGAAATGTGAGGGTAGGTGTTAGGATCATCTTGCTGGGGCCTCGTTAGAGTCATCTCTCTGGGGTCTCCAAAATATGTTAAGGTCACACTCTCCCAGCAGGGGAGGCCTACTGGGGGTGTGGGTATCTGGACTGCAATCCAATGCCACATGAAAGATGCAAAGACTTGCACAGAAGCTAGATTAGAAAACACAGTTTATTTAGAAATTAAATTAGAGAGAAAAAGAAGATTCACCTCCCCGAGGTAGAGAAGGAGGCCAAAGTCAGGAAACATGGCCTGGCCATAGCTCAAAGAGCACATGGCCACACCGTAGCTTAGCAAGGCAATGGCAGCAATGTTCTGGCAATGGCAAAATGGCTGCTCATGATTGAGTCCTTTTAACCATTTCCCTTGGATGGGGGAAGGTCATTAAGGTGATTGGGTGGTGATCTGCTCCACGTTACTACAAAGGGGCGGGTAAGCGCAGGTACTGACATCAGGTGATGGACAGCAGGTAGATGGATGGGTTAGTCGCATGATTGCTGCCATGGTGGTTGATTAGATGGGAGGAGACAAGGGGAGGGGGTTTTCCTGCCAGAGACATGCCAGACATCTGCACTCCACAAACTCCTTGACTAAAAGGTAGTCTGTTATCATTTCTGCGGCTCTGACCTAGTTTTGCCTCTGATGAAAATTTGCTGAGGGGGTGGGGTGGGCTGCCACTTGGACTGCAGTGGAATGCCTAGACGTTTTCTAACGGCTATGCTGAGGCAAAAAGACTATGCTAAACTAATTTTTAATCTAATTTTATTCTAGGTTTCTGTAGGTACCCCCTTTCAGTAGGGATGCCTGTTTTTTTCTTGCACAACACACATTAGTCCAGGGGTAGAAAGTACTGTGGGGAGTAGGAAGAGTGAGCTTCTGTGAGGCTGACTTCATTTTGTGATGCTGACTGTCTCCTTTAGGCTCTCGATGGCTACTCTGAAATGTTTGCAATCCCAAGCCATGAGAGAAGGCCTTGCCAAGGAATCCGATGAGGGAGACAACTTATGGACCCTACTCAGCAGTCCCAGAACTCATCACATAGGAGTATGTGCACTGGCCAGGTAATGTGCAGATATTCTAGAACCAAATACAAAGGAGAAAACAAAACAAAGCAAAAAAAAAATCATACAATACAAGTGACTTCACCGAGGTTAAATGACTTACTTAGCACTAATAGTCAAGGAAAACAAACAAGGAAGAAAGAGAAAAGGACATGGGGAGAGATGGTAAGATCGGCCCAACTCACCACTCCCCATGAAACAAAATGATTTAAGTGAACAGCTTTAGACAAACTACACTTAAATTGAACGGCCCTTTTAAAAGTGGAGCCTTGGTGGCTTGTCATTGAGCATTCATTTTTAGACACATTACTTGCCTGATGAACAAATAGGTTAAGATTTCCTCCATTGTTTACAGGGAGGAAAGTCTCTGCTAAAATTAAAATGTACATCTTCTAGGACCATGGCAGTGTGGCAATATGGAGTCATCCTGGGAATCATGGAACAGCTACTCTCCTCACTCACCTCCTCCTCGGAGAACTACCGGATAACCGGCACAGCTTTCTTCTCAGAGGCAAGGGAGACCAACCTTCGGAGCACCCTCACTGGGTCCCCTTGTAATATTTCTCTCAGGATCTGGAGCATAGTGAGAGCTGGAGCCAGCAAAGAGTGACCTTAGGGGGAACTTTAGTAGTAGATGGACCAGCAATTACCAGAGATGCAGTAGCCCGGAAGGGAGTGAAGGAGGAAAAGAAAAACACCCTCACCCAAATCCTGCCCGCTAGTCTGCAGTAATCAACTTCTCTAGGCAGAGAAGGGGAAACAAATTTGGCAGGGATGAAATATAAAGTATTCAATAAGCATAATAACCCCGAACCTTCTAATTCTGGCCTAAAGACTATCCAAGCCAATCCAGAGAAGGAATATCATCAGAAATTCCTGTTTTCCCTGCCCCGTTTCTCCATTTTAGACTAGACACTTCTGTTATCTGGTATTTGGGTTCTCAACACCACATAACCTTGACCTGTGGGCTGCTCCATCTAGAGTGTAGCTTCTGCAAGGTTTCCTGTTTCACCCAAGGGCTTTATCCTCAAGCAACGAGGCCCTCTCGTTAATTGTAGTTATTTGTAGTTATAATTGTAGTTATAATGCCTTTGACACTCTCCAGAAGGGAGGCCACTCCCTAAACTAAAGGGGAAGAATGTGTTGATTTCAGCTCATGAGGGAGCCAATCCTTTGGAAGCACGGGAATCTGCAAGATGTGCTGATCTTGATGGATCAGAGTACCTGGGACTCCAACGCCATTCTAAGGCAGTTGGCCATCCGAGGACTTGGCAACACAGCGACTGGGGCCCCTCACAAGGTAAAAGGCATTCTAGGGAAACGTGGTTCACTGAAGTAGAGTTTTGAAATAATTACTTACTAATCTACACCTAGTAGTTGCATAGAAATTGTTAGATCTCAGTGGAACCTCCATTAGGGTCACACTCTCAGCAGGGCCTCCAGAATGTTAGGCCAGGCCTACTGGGGATATGAATATGTCTGGTGTGTGAACTGATGCCACATGAAGGATGCAAAGAATTGTACAGAAGTTAGATTAGAAAATATTGTTTATTTAGAAAGTAAATTAGAGAGAGAGAAAAAGAGGATATTCACCTCCCCAAGGTAGGGGAGAGGGCCAAGACCAGGAAGCATGGCCTCACCATAGCTCAAAGAGCACATGGCCACACCATAGCATAGCAAGGCAATGGCCTGGCGATGGCCATGGCAATGGTGGTGGTAATGGCGACTGGTTGCTCATGGCTGAGTGCTTTTAACCCTTCCCTTTGATGGAGAATGGTCATTAAGGTGATTGGGTAGTGGTCTGTTCCACATCATCATGAAGAGACAGGTAAGCACAGGTACTGGCATCAGGTGATGGACAGCAAACAGACGGATGGGTGGGTTAGTCACATGATTGCTGTCACTGCAGGGAAGAGGGTATGTCACATAGGTCACAAAGGGTTGATTAGGTTAACTTAGGGATTTGGGCAAGGGGTTTTTCCTGCAAGAGATCTGTCAGACATTTTCAATTCACAAGTTCCTTGACTAAAAGGTGGTCTTATTATCATTTCTATGGCTTTGGCCACCCAATTGATGATCTTTGACCTTCCCTTGACAAGGAACCTGAAAGTTTTCTAGAAGTTAATATGCTAAACCATGAGCTGAAAATTGCACTGTTGGGCTGTCCTTGTCTTTATCTGCTGGATATTTACTCAGAGAGTATGGTAGACTGCCGCTTGGCCTACAGTAAAGTTTAATTTTAAAATGTCTGAACACCTCCTAAAACCTGCCTATTGAAAATTTTTCTTATCTATGTCTAACCTGTGCTAGATTCAAAGCATATCAGGGGTAAAGTCTAAGCAAAAATGGCTATGCTGAGGGAAAAAGACCACGCTAAACTAAGTTTATTCTGGGTTTCTATAGATACCTCCTTTCAGAAATTAAATTAAAAATCCAAATAAATCCAATTCTTGGATTGAAGTACATGTGACCCTAACAACATTTCAATCCCTTTGTCTAAGGACTACTTCCCTGTTCCAAATACACATAGAACAATTTTCGAGATTAAAAGAACTTATTTCAAAATAGGTGAAGAAGCATAAGCAGATAATGTTAGAATCTATCATCAGAGGCCTGTATCACCTGGCCCGCACCGAAGTCGTCTGTGAAAGCTTGAAGGCTCTACAAAAGATCTTGGAGCTGCTCACAGACCGAGATGTGAGCTTCTACTTCAAAGAAATAGTGCTGCAAACAAGAACCTTCTTTGAAGACGTAAGTGAGCCTGTTCAGGAATCTTCCCTCCCCAGAAGAAGTGAGTGAACAGAAAAAGGTTCAGGCAGTGCTTGTAGAAGACAAAATCAGTCCCCCAGAAGTCACTTGCAGACAATCCCCATATAGGCTGTTGGCTTCTTGTGACTTTCTACCTCATGATATTTTCTGGCCTGAGAATCATGAATAGTTTAAGCAATGTGAGCCAAAATGGTTGGTGAGAGAAATGTCCCAGAAAGGACTTTCAACCAACAAAAAACAAGAGTTTGTAGATAAATTCCCTCAGCTTCTTCACTCCTCAGGAGGATTACCTTCATTTGCCCCTAGGAGTAACACACTCATTAATACTCCCTTGCGTAGCTTTCCTCCCTTCTCTATCTCAGTCCCACTCCCCCACATGCTTCCTGGGCTCTTCTCCTACCTAAATCCTCATCTCAAGGTTTGTTTTGGGAGGAACTTAAATTATGACAGTACTCGATGCCGGACTAGGGCCTGAATAAAACCCTGGTATCACTCTAATACTATCCATTTCCAAAATTCAAAGAGTCATTTCATTCAGGAGTCAGTAAACTACAACCCATAAACCAAATTCAGCTCACAACTTGTTTTTGATTGGAACACAGTCATACTCACTGACTACATAATGTCTAGAGTTGCTTTCACATGCCACTAACAGAGTTGATCAGCTGTTACAGAGACCATATGACCCACAAAGCTTAAGTTATTTACTGCCTGGCTTTTTACAGAAACAGTTTATCAACCCCTACGTATGTCAACTCCATAGCCTTAATTTCAAAAGAGATCAGTCAGCAATCCAAGGCAGAGGAGGATTATTTTCCTTTATACCGCCTGGAAAACTACATTTTAGTATTTATTTTTGGTTTATTCACTGCCAACAATGTAAATATCTATTTTACATCTAATTTAAATCTATTATTTTCTGTTCTAAACCTCTTTGCTCAAGTTCTGTTATCAAAGGAGATGAAAAACTGCTAGTTACTTTCTCTACTGCGTCCTTCATAAACATGAAGGCTTTATTAAATTACCTACTTACCTTCTAGTCTCCAGTCATCATTTCCTTCGTTATTCATCATAAATCTAATTTTTCTGCTTATTAAATATTTTGCAAGCCTGTGATTGAGTTGGATCTTTAAATGAGGCCCGACAAGTATTGAACAGAGTCTTTTTAAAAACTACCTCACTAGTCCAATTTTTTCCTATTTATTTGTTCCATTTTTTTAAAAAAATTTACCTTTTCATCCTGATTCTGGAAATTTATTAACCATATGACCTTCTAGATTTTAGTCTTCAATATATGTCCAAATTCATTAATTTTTCAGTTTTGTATTTTTACAGTTAATCTTGTTGATGGGCTAGCCTAAACCTGGCCTTTTCCAAAGCAGCTTTCTTCTTGTTTCCAACTATTTTCTCTATTTTACCAATATCATTTTTAATTCTCATTTTATTCTCAAAAATTCTTATTGGACTCCCATCCCATTTAGAATCTTCTCTGAAAATAAAAAAAAGATGTTCTTTTTTTCATTAGCAGATAATTTATGACAATCTTTACCAAAAAAGGACTGACATCACCCCCACAGAATCCCACCTGTTAAATTTCCTGGGTTGTTGTTGATTCAATAATAATTCTCTTGGACCTTAGTCTCCAATAAATCAAAATTCTTCCTTACAGTTTTGTGGTCAAGATAATGTTTCTCGGCATATTACAGAAGAAAAAATAATCTAAAGTTTTGCTGGTTGTGAGGTCAGACATTTTTCATTCCTGATAGGTATCAATTCTATCATATTTGCTTAAAAGTAAAGTTGGACAAAACTTGGGGCTTAGTGCTTACATGCTATTTGTTCTCCATCTATCTTTCTGGAAGCCTATCTAACTCTATATTTTGCCCCAATATTTTTTTATAGATAAGCATATAGTTCTATTATCTCCAGGTCTTCTCTTTTTTTAATATAGTACTTTCCCAGAATTTTGAAAATATGGTGACACTACAGTTAAACAGAAAGACATAAAACATGGCTTCCACTCCGTGCTCCAGTCCCTTATTGCTACTACTTCCTGCACTGTCACCCTGAACAATCACTATACTCTCTGTGACTTAATTTTCTCAACTAAGAATGAGAACATTGGACTGGATGTTCTCTAATATTTCTCCAAGCATTCAAAGCACTGTTGCCACTTCTTTTTCTGGTTCTTTCATCTCTCAAATTGGTTGACTCTTCCTGGACCTATATCATCAAGAGGTTGATTTTGAAAAATTCAAAAAACATTTTTTAAGTAAATGCCTCTCTGCTTTGGGGGGATTTTATTTTTTATTTGCTTTCTTTTTATAAAAAGAGATTTTTAAAAATATATATCCTGATCTTACTCCTAATATATTTAAAGAATGCATTTCTACTTTCAGTTTCATTTTACAAGGTTGCATCTAATGTATTCATTTAGTTTTTCTGACCTATTCCCAACAATCCATCTTTATTTTTCCAGAAGATCTGCATTAACCTTTCTTTTCTATGTTTATTGCTCATCTAAGTAATATTCTGCCACTCAGCACTACTTTTCTTTTTAATCCTCTTTGTTTATTTGGGCTTTTTTTATAATTTTTTTATTTTTATGGGTTTGGGAGTGTATAAGGATAGTTGTGATACATGGATACATTGTGTAGTGATGAAGTTTGGGTTTTTAGTATACCCACCATCCAAGTAGTGTACATTGTAACTAATAAATAATATTTCATCCAAATGGGTATTTAGACCAGTTTTCTGAACCTGAAAGAAAAATTTCCACAAAATCCATCCCGCTTCATTTCCTTCTTTGCTGGAACTTTGAACTATATCAACAAAGTGTACGAAATAATAGGAAGTCATCTTTCTCTACCACCTTGCTCTTTGTCTCTTAAAATCATTTCCTACCATCCTGAACAAAAAGCAAGGATATTCCATAACTTCACATACTCAGGAGTAGGGCTAGACACTGGTTTGACTTCTTTCTAAGATTGAGCTACCTGCAATCTCTTTAAAATTTATTTGGTTTTTTGGAGAAGAGTCCTAAGCCTTGGGCAATGTAGATTAGAGGCTCCATAATTCTAGGCTAGTGATGCAACCAAGTTAATTTGAGTAAAATATACAACTAGCAGGAACCCTTCCTGGCCTTCTGCTGTGAGCACTCCTGTTTCTCATTCCTGTGGTCACAATTCCCCACTAGCTACTCAAAGGCAGAGATCAACTCTTTGACATCACTTAAGTCCCAAACCTAGGGATTTTTACATTCATGTAGTATGGGAAGAGAGCACCTGGGAAAGGAAGAGTTCTTAGAACACATAAGGGCTGTGACAATAATGTACTAATGCCTGGGTTCCAGCCTTCCTTTGCTGAAGTGGGGTGAGGTGAATGCCCAAGGTGTGCTGGCAGGGAATGGCCTGTGAGATGATATTGATCACAACATGCCTTTGTCACCACAGGAGCAGGATGATGTGAGACTGACTGCCATCTCCTTATTTGAAGATCTGGCATCCCTATCAGGAAAAAAGTGGAAGATTTTTTTTGCTGAGGAAATTAAAAAGAGCCTGATTTCATTCCTTCTTCACATCTGGGATCCCAATCCCAAGATTGGAGCTGTAAGTAACCCTCCAAGACCTCCTAAAGTCATCCTTCAGAATCGAACCTGAAAACCCACTTCTCCAATTCTGAGTCCTTCTTGCCATCTCTTCCTGAGTTTGCTCTTTCATCCCAGAAAGGCGCCAGCAATAACTATAAAGCCCTCATACCACTGATTTTTATTGCTTCTTTCCCAGTGCTTTTCAGTGCTTTTTCCCTTCTGGAAGGAGATCCTAGCATTTTGGACTGTGACACAGAAAACTCTGTGTTCTAGGCTTGCCGTTATGCCTTGATCATCTGCATCCCTTTTCTGGGACTTCAGGAACTCTATGGGGTATTAGACCATCTCCTTGATCAGGATCTACCACGGGCCAGGGATTTCTACAGGCAATTCTGTGTGAAACTGGTGAGTGTGTGATAGATATTCCCTCCAAAAAAAAAAAAGGCAGGACAAGAGTCTAGACAAATCCCCAAAGGGCAAACAACGTAGCAAGGACTCTCTGGCCAGAGTCAGACCACCTTGAAAGGATAGCAGTGATCCTTGGTAGGAAACGCAATGATTCTGCCACATCACCCTCTACTCCTTTCTCAAATCCTGACTGGGATCTGTTCTCCTCGGTACCCAAAACTCACATCTGTCAGTTGATCCCTTAAGCCCATTGCCTTCCTGATTAAACTTAGATCAAAATAGCCATAAGACAACTTTCAATCAAGTATTTTGTGGCTGTATGAGTGTTTGCTGGCCTTTAGAGGTCTCTTCTCAGGATGATCATCTATAGGATGCTGAGTGTCATGAAACACCACTTTCCCGTTGCCCTCTCTGTAATGCACATCCTTCTAGGCAAAGAAAAACCAAGAGGTTCTGTGGATCCTCCATACACACTCCTTCCCCTTCTTCGCCAGCAGCTGGGAGATTATCAGGAGCACAGCTGTCAAACTCACAGGTGAGCTCAGATTCACAGCCCCTACTCAGATATGTCCACTTTTTTCCATTTAGTTTTGCTTTTACTGGAAGCTATCCCAATGTGAACACTGGGATGACCGATACAACTTTTTAAAAAACCAGAAATAAATGTACCTTATGTCTGGTAATATCTTCCCTCAACAAAAACCTGTTTCCTTTTGCAGTGAAAACTTTTAGCCTCCTATGACTTCCCAACACTTACTCTCCTCCCATCTGGGCCTTCCACGCTCCTTCTGGCTTCAAGTCGTTGCTGCTTCTTTTTCTCAAGTCTTTGTTCCTATCCTGCTGTATCTACGTATATACTTTCCTTCACCTCATCCCTTAATATAAGCCATATTCAGCATTCCAAGTTCAATTTAAGCTAAGAGCTTTGACAGTAACATGATACAAGTGGGAAAATATATTGATATGAGGCCTGTGGACCCTGTGGATCCAGGTTCTGTTATGTGATTCTGTACAATTAACTTCTCTGCTACCTGTCTGTCTGGTCTATAAAATAAAGCATAAGTAAATCTCTGAAGATCCTCTTAGTATGAAATTCTAAGTCTCACCTTAATGCCTGTTCCAACTAATCCAGCTCACAATAAGCAGGCCCACTCACTTGGCCACCCTTAAAACCAAGTTAAAGTCTAAGGATTACTAATTGGATCATGGCTATCATCCCCACAAACTATATTATACACTTTTTGAAGAGAGGGACCATATCTTATACAGGTTTGAGACCCTGACAACAACTGACTCCCCAGAAAGACTTTCCCAAATATGTGCTGAATTAAGTGACCAATTGCAGACATGGCACTCAAGACCCCATAGAAGTCACCCTCGCATTATCTTTTTTTTTAAGTTCACTCATGCAGTAGTGATTTATTAGTAGACTACTGTTAAACTATACCCCAGTTTACAGGTTGGAAAATAGTATTGCATTCTCTTGTGGAGACCAACTTGAATTTGATATCATCCTCTAATTTAAAGAGTACTCAAGAGCTCTGAAATAAGTATGCACTCAAATGTAAGGTATCAAACAAGTGTGCCCATTTAAACTACTGCATTTTAATTTCTAATTATAAACGAGTTTACATAAACAGGAAATTACACTCATCCATTTGTACGTTTTAAATACATATATTGTGTCTCAGAGAAAAGAACTGGGAAACAGTTTGTTGATCAAGGAGTTGAATAATTAATTACAGAGCTACACATATATTTAAATACCTTGCCTCACATTATCTTAAGGGGTAAAGGGAGAGTCATATAGTTTGCCCATTCACTAACCTACCACTTACCTTCTGACAAGGTGCTGAGTCTACTGTTCACGGCCTCTTTCCCCATAATAAAATCAGTAATTTTTTCTCTCATTGACTTTAGATGCCATTGTTTTCAATCTGTCCAACGAATATGTGGAGTTATTAGACAAGGATGAACTGACCACACGTGAGTACAATTCCTAATTTCTGCCCAGTATATTGTTACATCTTTAGGGAAAGAAGAACCATTGCTACTCTAAGTTCCATTTGAGCCCAGAAATTGAAAATCATAGTACCAATTATTGTCTCTGTTGCTCTCTAGACACTGAAATTTCTCCAGAGTATCAAGTAACTTCCAGTTCCACCCCCTTTGCAGGCATCATTCCCACCAGACCACTCTTTTCCAACTGTTTAAGCCTGTTGATCACAAGGTCAGGGTCTTCTCTTCCCTTATTTCAATGTTAAAATAGTTTCTCAACTTGTAGCTCCAAATTCTACCTTTCAGAGTAAAACGTGAGCATAGGGCTGACCTTCATTGGTGAGCCTTGCAGCACTGCGTAGGTTGGGCCTTGGCTTGGGTTGCCCTTCCTTCTGTGCTCAAACTCTCTTCATCCACTTAACTTTGCCTTTCTTGCCATTTCAGGGCTCCAAGCACTTCGGTTAGACCCCTGTATCAGTGTCCAAAGAGCAGCTGAAGCTGCCTTGCAGACCTTGCTGAGAAGGTGTAAGGAGATAAGCATTGCTCTGTAAAGCATCAGGAAATAAACCACTAAGCTTTTTCTACAACTGACTCCAGTTCTATTAAATCACAAACTTGCAGCGTCGTGAAGAAAGATATGGTGCCTAGGATGGGGATCTTGAAATGATAGTATATTCCTTCCTCTCCAGAATCTCCTTGGTATTTCCATTCTTGAAAAGTAAATTACACAAATTCATTTCAGGAATAACCTTTGATTTGAGTAGTGACAACCACATGGCTTTGCCCAGTTTAGCACTCTATCTTAAGAAGCTGAGTCCCAGCAGATATCAGAAAGTGACAGAACTTGACACACACAATTCCACTGCCATTAAGAAGAGAGCCACTGTTATTTTCCACACATAACTCTTTCCTTCAAGATCTTTGTCAGTTTTGAATTACTACCCACACTCTTATTTTTTAAAAATACAGTCTTATGATAAACTTTAACCTGTCTGCTCTTTCCCAGGTTGTAATTTACGTGTCAAGACTATGCCAGGTACCTTTCTGCAAAAGACCCTTTCTGACATTCTATTAAATTTCATGATTTCCTTTCCATTTTTATCCCGTAAACAGTGTTTGTTGGTGTGTGAGTGTGCATGCACATGCCTGCGTGTGTGTATGAGTGTGTTAACCTTCTTCATAGTATCTGAATCAGAGTTTTCTACTTTTTCACAATGCATATGTGAAAGGTTACATACATGAAATTGCATACATAAAAAGAAGTTTCTAACACAGAAACCAGTACTCATTTAACAATGCCATCATGATCATTTATTAGCAATATTATTAGTATATTCCCTTAGAATGTTTCTACAAGTTTCTATTATTTATTTTCTAATTTCTTATCCCTACACTCTTTGGAGAAATATCTTTTGTTTCTAAAAATCTTAGGGACCAAAAAAATCTTTTACAAGAGGGAACCCAAAAAAACCCTCAAAATTTATTTATTAAAAAAAATTATGTACTTATTCTTACATAATTAAATTTCAGTCACCTTCAAAATACACTCTGTTTGAAACAATAAGCCTATTGAGACTTTTTTTCACTGCTCAAAACAGTTTTTTAACTCATCAGTTTTGATTTTTTTTAGTGCTTCTGCCATTTTTTGTTTCATCTCTTCCACATCAGCAAAATGTTTCCCTTTGAGAACTTTTTACATCCAGGGAAACAAACAAAAAAAGGTTGCTCATGGCGAGATCAGATGAAGAGGGAGGGTGGAGTACAGAGGTCATGCCATTTGGGGTCCAAAACTGCTGGACATTCAGTGAGATGTGGGCAGGTGTACTCGTAAATTATATATCATGAAATAGGTAAATGCATTGAAAGATTCTCCCCCCCAAAACTCACTGAAACCAAATGCATCCTCTCACAACAACGTTAGCTGGTACACTGATACCAGTGGGTTCCTAGAACACTTATCTAGTGGAGGAAGCCTGTACTATAAGCAGCCTGCCCTCCAAAAAATAATTCTGGTTTTTTGAGGGCCCCCTAGTATATAAGAGATGATAGGCCAAGAGTCATTTATTTTTTCATTTAATAAATATCTATTGAATGACTGTGATTTTATAAGGCATTGTTATAGTCTCTGGAACTAGAATAGTAGGGAAAAAAATTACAATCGTGCCTTCACAGAGCTTATGCTCTATTAAATCTATATATAAGTTCTCAAGGAGGGAGCCAGCTTCCACAATGGTCTCTGAAGATTTGTGCCTCCTGGTATTCATGCCCCTGTGCCATCCTCTCCCACAATGAATAGGACTGACCTGTTCAACCAACATAATATTACAGAAATGATGGACAAGATTACAAATTATAAATTATATCACACTTTCTTGAACCACTCACCCTAGAGGAAGCCAGCTGACATGTCGTGAGAACACTAAGCAGCCCTGTGGAGAACTCCATGTGGCAAAGAAATGATGCCTCCTGAAAACAACCAGCACTAACATACAAGGCATGTAAGTGAGTCATCATCAGAAAGAATCAAAGAGGCACACTTAAAGGCTACAAATGATTAAAATTCTAGCTGACACTTTGCAACCTAGGATTGTGAGATAAAACACAGAGTGTCCAACTGAACTTGACTTTCAGATAAATGTTGAATAATGTTTTCAGTAAAAAACAATCCCAATTATACACTACACTGAAAAAATATTTGTTCTATCACCATACACAAAAATCAAACCCAAATGGATCAAAGACCTAAATGTAAAACCACAAACTATAAGAATCCTAGAAAATGTAGGAGACACACTTACAGAAATTGGAATAGGCAACCAATTTCTGATCAAAATCCCAGATGCCTATGCCATAAGAGATAAGATAGACAAAGAGGACATCATCAAACTGAAAATCTTCTGCAAAACAAAAGAAAACATCAAGAGAGCAAGGAGACACCCACAAAATGGGAAAAAATATTTGCCAACTGTATATTTGACAAAGGTCTAACATCCAAGTTTTACAAGGAACTCAAATGTGACAAAAGGAAAAAAAATAGCCCCATTAAAAAATGGGCAAAGGGCATGAATAGACACTCTCAAAAGAAAGTATGCAAGCAGTCAATAAACACATGAAAAAATGCTCAGCCTCACTAATCTTCAGAGAAATGCAAATCAAAACCACACTGAGATACCAACTAACCCAAGTAAAAATGGCCATTGTTAATAAAACAAAAAACAACAGATGCTGGAGAGGATGTAGAGGAAAGGAAATGTTTCTACATTGTTGGTGGGAGTGCAAACTAATTCAACCTCTATAGAAAACAGTGTGGTGATTTCTGAAAGAACTAGAAATTGGCCTTCTACATGACTCAGCTATCCCTCTCCTGGGAACATGCCCGGAGGAACTCAAATAATTCTACAAAAAAGATACCTACACATAGATGTTTATTGCAGCACTGTTCACAATAGCAAAACCATGGAACCAACCATGCAATGCCCATCAAAACTGGACTGGATTTTTTAAAAATGTGGTTCACATACTCGATGGAATATTATGCGGCCAAATAGAACAGAATTATAGACTTTTTGGATGGATTTGGAATCTATCATTTTCAGTGATCTATCACAGAAACAAAGAACTGAATACCACATGTTCTCACTCATAAGTGGACCCTGAACACCTATCATAATACTACAAAAATTGGATGGCAATAACAGAACACTGCCAGGGGAGGAGTGGGGCACATAACATCAATAAGAGAGACTGATCCTAGCCGGGCTCGGTGGCTCAGCCTGTAATCCCATGCCTTTGGGAGGCTGAAGTGAGTGGATTGCCTGAGCCCGCGGGTTCGAGACCCGCCTGGGCAGGTGAGACCTCATCTCTACAGTAAATCAAAAAATTAGCCGGGCATGGTAGCACATGCCTATAATTCTGGCTACTTGGAAGGCTGAGGCAGAAGGATCGCCGGAGCCCAGGAAGTCGAGGCTGCGGTGGCCGGGAGCGGCCACTGCACTCCAGTCTGGGCAACAGAGTGAGACTCCAACTCAAAAAAAAAAGAGAGAGACTGATCCTAATCCAGATGAAGTGAGGTCCAATGGAAGGCTAAAACTTCACCTGTACCTAAACCACTTATGTACCTAATCCTGACTTGTACCCCACAACTTTAAAATAAAAACAAAATTATTTGTTGTTTATGTGAAATTCAAATTTAGCTGAACATAATATATTTTTATTTGCTAAATCTGGCAACCTTAACACAATCTTGAGTCAGAACACTAAGCTAACTAAGCTACTCCCAAATGCTTGAATCATAAAATTGTGTGAGATAAAACACTGGTAGTTTAAACCACTGAATTTTGAGGTAATTTGCTATGTACAAGTTAGCAACTGTTACACAAAGGATCCATGGTCCCACCAAAATCATATGCAAATTTCTGTGTATAATTGCATAGGTGTGTTTTCTGGGTAACAGCTTTCATTAAATTTTCAATGAAGTTAGTAGTTATTCCCAAGCAAAACATATATTAAAAAAAAAAAGAGGGTAAGGGATATGTATTTAGTTGACTTCTTTGACAGATTATTTTAAGTTAAATAACCTTTCAAATAGCACTGTCCAGTACAACTTTCTGCAGTGATAGAAATCATTTTTCCTTTCTGCACTGACCAATATGGTAACCACTAGCCACATGTAGCAACTGAGCACTTGAAATGTAGCTAGTGTATATGAGAAATTAAATCTTTAATTTTAATTAATTTTAATTAATTTAAAATTAGTCATGTGTAGCTAGTAATTATGATATTTCACAGGAAAATTTCATAATATTGAGCAGAGAGTATTAATAAAATTTGTGTTGAGCTACCCCAAAACTACAGTACATTCTTAACAGAAGTATAAATTAACTAACATAGGACTTTGTCAGGCATTACTTTATGTATCTCTACTACTATTCTTACTCATCCTTGCATCCAGCAAAGAGCCTTTCTCATAGATAGACTGATGGAAATTAGGTAGGATGGCCACACAGTGTCTCCGAACCTTTAATTTTCTAAACTCAAATCTTAGAAGGAATCACCTTGGCAAGAATTTCCAGAACTTTCTCACATCCTGGCTCCATCACTTACTAGCTATGTGACTTTGAAAAACCATTTAACCTTTCAGTACTTTAACTTTCACATCTGTTGTTAAACCCAGAACTCTAATCAGAGAGAGAGAGAGAGAGAAAGAGACCACAAAGAGCCAGCTCCGATGCAAACACACGAGGGTCTTTATTCAGGTTCGAGTCTGGGCTCACGCATGAAGCTGGTAGAGGCTTCATGGACGAGAGCATTGATCCAGTATGGCAAGCAGTTTTTATGCACAATTACAGAGGGAGGGGAAAGAACTTTAAACTTGATTTTACATGATTGGGTAATTTCTCCTAATGGGTACGGGAACACTTGGTACTGGTAGGTGCCTTTCGTGGGCTGTAACCTGACTGTCCGTGATTGACAGAAACCCACTTAACGGGCAGAGTGGAATGTCAGATAAGTTAGGTTCATACAGTCACTGCATATAAAGTAACCTGAGCAACCTGGAGGTTACATTAGCCATTAAGTTTGCTGA